GACAGCCTGAACCAAGCTTGGAGCTATATCAGTTGAAGTTAGTTGGTTGTCATCAGCATAATTCGAGAGTTTGGCCTCTGTAACAAAGTAAAATAAGTCATTTAAAAAGATATTAAAGAACAAGGGGCCTAAAACAGACCCCTGTGGAACTCCTCTGTGAATCTTGTTAATGTCAGACTTGGCATTGGCCACTTTAACCCGCTGTCTCCGTCCACTAAGATAATCTTTAATTAGGTTAAGACTCTGGGTAGAAAGACCATACGCCTTCAGCTTGTCTATCAATAGGTTGTGAGGGATAAGATCAAAGGCTTTACTTAAATCCAACATCACTGAACCAACAGTCTTTCCTTTGTCCAAGTCTTGCCTCCTTGCTAACCAACGTTAAAGACAAGGACGAACCAAGGAACAGATAGGGAGCAATTTATTAGATCAATTGTTCCTACTGCCAAGCCTCCTACATCGGAGAGACTGGCAGAAACCTCTCAACAAGACTGACTGAACACAGCCTGGACGGGCGGGCGACGAGGAAAGGTGATGTCAACAATCGCAATGCTGAACATCATCGACTTACGAACCACAATATTGACTTGGACTCTACCCAATGCCTAACCTGCATCACTAATCGCCTTTAGCGACTGACTCTGGAAAGCTGTTTTGCTAACTTAGAACAGACCTCTAAACAGGTTTCAACTTCTACCGGCTCCATACAGACGACTCATTCATTACATTAACATTACAAACAAACCGAATAGAACGACCTAACTTTACAAACGGATCGAAACAGACCAATCACGACCGGCTTACGCCACTTGAGTCTTACAGCCAATAACATCACGGCAAAACTGACCAATCATTTTACACGAACTGGACTAAGAAAATTCTACTGACCATAACTATTTACTTGACACTGATGATGACTTCCGCACAGTTGTCGAAACGTCAGTCACTACAACCGACAACAGTCCTTCTCAGGACTACACTCACCCGGACGATCACACTACACTTTCACAGAACAGGAAAAAGTAACCCAGGCATGTTCACATTTTGTTACAAATGGCTTTGATTTCAAAACTTTCCAGTGGCAATTTACGCATTTTGAAAACACGTTGTTACTCAATTTAGAAGTCTTAGAAAAAATTTCCTACCTTGAAGTTCTTAGTACAGTCAAGTGGACTTGTTCAGACCTCATAGTTTACAGACGTCTTGCCATTATGTTCAGCTGACAACTCAGAATTGAAAGGTATTTTAAATAAACAATAACTTCGCGAATAGATAACAATTCGGCAGGAAGTCGGATAAACCACTTCTTTCGCTCAGAGACGCCTTTTGTGGCAGGGTTTAGTTAATCTGAGGAACAATACTTACAGATATATTCTGACCAGCTTTTGATGAAGGTCTGTCTTAAAGTAATGGCTTGTTTGCTTTTTTTGAATAAACTAAGCTTCCATAGTGGACAATACTTCTTAAGATATGAACCAACCTGTCAAATCCTCTATTCTAAAAGGTCATGCGCCAATGCCGCGAGGAAACCAAAAATTCTCGTTCAACTCAGGGGGTTTGTCCTTTTAGGAGCAGTAATCCTCTAAAGCCGAACTTTATGACCGAAAGTTTTTCCCACTCGATCTTTCAAGCCGAATTCTACATAAAACTCGGAAAACGCAGTTGAGTGGTTGGTCTAGTTGAACAATTTCACTGTTTTTACTCAAAATATGTGACTGTAAAAGAAGCAAATCTGCACTTCAATTTCAGTCCAAAAATCGAGTTAGGCGATGAAAATTGCATTCGACTCAATCTTATCATGAATTTTAGATTAAATAAAAAAAAAGAAAAGCGATCAATAACCGTAACATGCTCGAATGAATTGATTAAATCGCACGGTTTAGTAAATTTGATTTAATTGTCACTATGAATTTTGAGTCGTATCATTCATGACAAAATGAAAAACCTCAGTCCAGAGAAAAAGTGAACTTCTTTGGCTTGTTTTCATAATCAGTAACTCTAGATCTTAAAGCATATAGATGCTGAAAGGCAAAAAGACTTGTATACTTTTTGTTCAGACTTAATTTTCTTTGAGAATTAAAGCCGACTTACACATGAAGTTTATAAAAAACAGCTCGAGGTGATTCGTGGAAAGATCGTGAACAAGGCGAAGGTACCTGGCCATTGAGAATGCTGTGGGAAACTCACCTTCAGTGTTTTTGTTACAAATGCTAAATGCTAATGCCACTCTTTGAAATTGGTTAAGGTCGGATTCTGACGCATGTTTTTGAAAATGTGATTCTCACCACTTCCTCATCGCAATATTTTCAAATCACTCTTGAGTTGCACGATAAAGAAATTCTCGTGGCAAGATGGACTGGCTAAAGTTCTCTGCATGCTGTTATTCTTATGATCGGAAAACACGACAATCTTTGTTTTCATTTTCGCACAAGTTAGATTAAGCAAAAAAGTTCCCCTATATCGCGGTACTGACATACCTACTTTTCTTTTTTAGCCGTGGGTACGCGAAGCGTACAAACGACTATTAGAATAGGGCAAAATATGCAAATGTGTCACTCACTCCTTTCTTCGAGGGAGTTTCGATTTTCATTAAAATACTTGTCGTAGTTAGCACATGTGTAACCGAATTAAAGCTCTTTGAAAGTCTTAAGGTGTAACTATGAGTGAAGACGCTTAATTCAATCGCTTTTCC